GGGCAGTGACACGGTCCACGCTGCTGTGTGTGCCCATAGGAAGCCCTCTGCATACTACCAGGGCTGTCAGGAAGGGGCCATGGCCCTGCTTCCCACCCCTCCTCTTCCAGCCATGTGGCTCAGTGTGGCTATGTTGTCATTTCTAACCAGAGGTGCCAGGCCCCCGCTGACCAGCAGGGCTACAGCTCCTTAGAACTGAGGTTTTGTGGAGCTGGGGGCCATGGCCTCTCTGCACTGCTCATGCCCAGGGATCACCATGTCCTGCTGACCCTGCCTCTTGCATGTATCTTGGTCACTGATCCCTCTGCCTTGGCCCAGCCACCTTGTCCTGCTCCCTGCCAGGCAGCATTTGTCTGGGGGACCATACTGGCTCTTATAAGCCTGACAGCACAAGTGACCTGCAAGTCCATCCCCCGCGTACCAGCCACAACATATGTAAGACCCTCCTGAGAATGAGCAAAGGCCTGGAGCTTCCACTGCCAGGGGCTGGCTTAGATCTTGAAGCCAGGGTATAACTAAGCCTGGGGTGAAGCAGGACATGGGCCTGGTTGCCCGTCAGCCTCTGGCCACTGAATTCCCCCTTCACTTCTGAGGTCTGGATCAGAGGCATAGTGCCCACACCGAAGGGCCTTGTGGGTATAGCCCCGTAAGGGAGCATTGCTTGGGCGTTCATGTAGGAACTCAGCTGGGATCCTGAGGGGAGGGGCTACCCGGTGGCTGGAGAGCTGTCAGTGTCCTCTGGTGCTCTTCTCATTGGCTTGTCAGGAAGCCCATGGGCCCACCCCAGGGCAGCCCTGTGCAGCTGGTCAGCCTCTACATTCCCACGTGGAATTGAACATCTGTCCTACCACCTAATGTTTTTAGCAGATTGGAAGAAAATATCCTATTCCAGACAATCCACGGGCCAAGGGTCCACTACTGTTAGGACCTCCAGAGAGAAGACAGTGCAGTAGAGGACCAGGCCCCAGCCTCTGATGGATGGCAGGCACTAGGAGGCCCCAGTACCTTGCCCTCCTGCGGGGCATTGACTTTGCCCCCACCCCACGGGCCCACTGCCCTGGGTGGGCTGGTTGCCTCTGCCCTCAGCATCCTCATCCAAGATGCAGGTGGCCACCTTCCTCTAGTTCACTCTCAGGTGGCAGTTTTCACGTCCCCACCCTGTCCCCACTGCTGAATAGCCTCAGGTGGAATCAGAGACACCAAGGGGGCCTAGTTGGTAGGCCCAGGAGCATGCCCCTCCCCTGTGTCCCTGTCCCAGGGGGCACGGAGCAGTGGCCAGGGTGCTTGATCTTCCCTCCTCGCCTCTCGTGGCTCTTGGATGTGCAGACCCAGTGTGCCTCAGGTTCCACACTCTCACCAGCTCGCC